GGCATTGCCAGCTCTTCTAATGCCTTAGTCCTCAGTAAGCTGTCTCAGTGGCCTGTCGAGCCACCTGCCCCACCCAGGTCCAGCAGGCCGAGAGTGGGCATCTCCAGCAAGGATCTACTTACAGTGCGGGGCTCTGAGGAGCAGGCTGATGGAGGAAGACTGCAAACCAGGAAACTCAAGCCAAACAGAGAGAAAGGGAACCCGAGGTTTGCAGGGCCAGGGCTGAAACTCAGGGCCTCAAAAATGCTCCACAGCATCCCACTGCTGAGCTACACACTAGCCCTAAAAGTTTCTTTCTCAGTCAGCAGTGTGCATCACGCTTGTGTGTGTGTGTATGTGTGTGTGTGTGTGTGTGTGTGTGTGTGTGTGTGTGTGTGTTGGGAATTGTGCCCAGAACCTCACACATGCTAAGTATGATTGGTTTCACTGAGTTACACAACCAGGTCAGACCCCAGAAAAAATTTGGGGTGAACTAAAGCAATAATAATGTTGAGAGAACTTTCTCTCTCTTTTCCTAGAGACATGAATTTTTGTTTATTTGTTTTTGAGACAGGATTTCTCTGTGTAGCCCTGGCTGTCCTGGAACTCACTCTGTAGACCAGGCTGGCCTCAAACTCAAAGAGATCTGCCTGCCTCTGCCCCTCAAGTGCTGGGATTAAAGGGGTGCGCCACCACCGCCTGGCTGACTTACTGTATTTTTAATTATGTGTCAGTGTGTGGATGTGTGCAGGTGAGTGCAGGTCCCTGTGGAGTCAGACCTCAGATCCCCCTGGATCAGGAGTTACAGGTGAGTGCAGGTCCCTGTGGAGTCAGACCTCAGGTCCCCCTGGATCAAGAGTTACAGGTAGCTCACAGCTGGGAACCAAGCTTGAGTCCTCTGGAAGAACAGTGCAGACTCTTAACTGGACCCCTCTTTTATTTTGAAATCATTACCTTTTCTATATTTTATTTACTCAATTTTGTCTTGTGTGTATGTGTGAATATATATGTGTACCACATGCATGCAGTTACACACAGAGGCCAAAAGAGGGCATCAAATCCCCTGGAGCTGGAGTTGCAGGCAGTTGGGAGCTGCCATGTGGATGCTGAGAACCCAGCCCAGGTCCGTTGTAAGACAGGCAAGTACTTCTAACCACTGAGCTGTCTCTCCAAAACCCCAATATCATTTATATTTGTTTGGGTTTTAGGTTGGTGTTTTTGTTGTTTTGTTTTGTTTTGTTTTGAGAGAGGTCTCCTGCAGCTGTGACTTTGTAGGAATCTTAATAGGGTTTATTTTCTCCTTCAGTTCAAAAACTAAGAGACAGGAAAATTCTCAGACACAGCAGAGCAGCGACAGGTAACAAGCTTTATTCACGTCTAAGAAGTGTATCTATACACACAGAGAGCAACACACACGAAGACTTCCTGTAGAGCAAAGAAGGGACTCAGAATTCAAAACCCATGTTTTCCCTGGAGACCTAGGGGTTTTAAGTGTTTTTGGTGGCCTGGGAAAGAGCCCCTTCCCCTAATTTTGGATAGTTCAGCTTAAAGAAGGGGAGCTGGCAGTCTCCCAGCCTCAGGACATGTTCAGCACCAGTCATGAGTCTGTCTAGTCCTCCTGGGAGGGCCAGCCGGAAGCAGCACCCTGCTGACCAGAGAAAAATCCTGCCAGGCCATTGTCTCAGGTCAGGAAGATGAGGAAGAACCTGGGACTTCCTATTGTTATTAACTATCTATGGCCCCCTTTCCTCACTGTCTGCCTGTCAGGGATCTGTCTGTCTCCTAGTTCCTTCCTGCCCAGGTCGAATCCCTATGACCTATGAACTCTTGACCTTGCTGCTTTCACCCACTGAGTGCTGGGATTGCAATCATGTGCCACCACGCCCAGCTGGAATTTCTGCAATTTTGGTGCCACTTGTGATGGTGGCTTTCCAATGAAGACCCGCTTTTGCCCAGGTAACACAGGGAAGTTTCTGGTACTTATAAACAAAAGTGAGCTTGGTGTGGCAACTGCCTTTAATCCCAGCACTTGAGAGGCAGAGAGAGGCAGGCGGATCTTTGTGAGCTCAAGGCCAGCCTGGACTCCAGAGTGAATCCAGGAAAGCCAGAGATACACAGTGAGACCCTATCTCAAAAAAGGCAAAACAAAACAAAAGGCAGTTTTTGTTTGTTTGTTTGTTATAGTTGGCCCAGGAATGGAACGTAGGTTCTACCTATGGTCTTGCCCATGGTACCCACATAACCCCTTCACCCACTCTGCCACAGAGCTATGCCTCCAATTCAGAACCTTCCTTAACACCCCAAAGTATAGTGTCCTCCAGAGTAGGACAGGATGATCCCCACCCCCACCACTTCAGCCCAGTTCCTTCCACCCACCCTCTGCAGCTTTCTTAGGCACATTTGCTTCTTAAAGGGACCAAAACACTTTTAGGGTGCCGCTGGGCATTTAAGCCTCCTTCAGTAACACAGAAGGGCTTCCCAAAAGTTATCCTGGGGATTACTCATGGCTTTCTCCCAATGTTTTCCTTGAAAATTTTGAGAGGCCCCCTATAGTGGCTTGAATAAGAATGGCCCCCATAGGCTCATGTATTTGAATGCTTAGCCATCAGGGAGTGGCACTGTTTGAGAAGGATTAGGGGGTGTGGCCTTGTTGGAGGAAGTATGTCACTGTGGTGGGCTTTGAGGTTTCTAAAGCCCACACCTGGTTCAGTCGTGTGTCATGTCCCGTGTCCCCCCCCCCCCCCCCCCGTGTCGTCCCCCCCCCTTCAGATCAGGATGTAGCTCTCAGCTACTTCTCCAGCACTATGCCTGCCTTGCTTCCTTCCATGATGATAATGAACTAAACCTCTGAAACTGTAAGCAAGCCCCCAGTTAAGTGTTTTCTTTTCTGAGTTGCCTTGGTCATGATGTCTCTTCACAGCAATAGAATAATAACTAAGATACCCCACTTCTGAGGCTTCCTGATTCTTTTCCAACCCCTCTTTGCATCAATCAACTAGTGACTAAATTGCTCTCTAATTGCAAGTGAGCTGACCCAGTCGAAGCTCCTACCCACCTCTCCGATGGGCAGCAGCAGCCTCCAGGGAAGTGTCTTGGAGAAGCTCCCCAAATGAGCTGTTCCACTTCTTTGATGTTAGACCCTATTCCAGACCTGTTTTGAGAAAGACCATTTTACCACTGGCTTCGTGGACACCCTTCCACCATTGGCTTCATGGAGATCAGAGTCCGAGGGAGCAAAGAACAATTAAATCTGCTCTGGTAATAACCACTGTTGACAGGGTGCCTATACTAATTTTCGGGAGCTTCAGGCAGACACTATGGAAAGGACTTTCTTTTTCTTTTCTCTCTTTCTTTCTCTCTTTCTTTCTTTCTTTCTTTCTTTTTTTTTTTTTTTTTTTAATATAGGGTTTCTCTGTGTAGTTTTTGGTGCCTGTCCTGGATCTCGATCTGTAGACCAGGATGGCCTTGAACTCAAGTGCTGGGATTAAAGGCGTGGGCCACCACCGCTGGCTTTTTTTATTTATTTTCATGTGTGTTTGCCTGCATGCATGTGTACCACGTGAATGAATGGTACCCGCCAAGGTCAGACGAGGGCATCAAATCCCCCGCCACTGGAGTTCCAGACAATTAGGAGCCTCCGTGCCCACAAAGGAGGTGTGGTTTATTGGCTTCAGGAGCCCTGGTTGGTCCATGGCAACAACTAGGGCATGTTATTTCAAGGTCCCAAGGGTTACTATGTGAATTCCTTGATTTTTATTATCATTGTTATTTATTTATTGTGGAGGAGTCAGTGCATGCTGTGGGGCTGGTGAATGCCTAGAGGGAGGAGAAGCCAGAGGATGCTCAGTGAGCCTATATTATGACACGCACTTTACCCTGGAAGATATGTGCTAGAGGAACATACCACCACAGACATACACTGACTTATTGTGTATGACTCAAAGCTAGGTTGGGAGATACCCTGTGTACAGTGAAAATGCATCTTCCTCAGGGGCTGAGTGGGCCGACCTCAGGAGAGAGGAATTCCACAGCCAGTGTGCATTTCTGGACGGTTAGATGCTCTTCGGTTAGTTCATCTCTCTGGGCTTCAGCCGGCAGCCTGTGTTGACATCAATTTACATCCAGTGAAGGAAGATTTTGAAGAACCTCGAGGGTCTGTCTGGTCAGAGTTTGGGGTGAGTCTGCTACAGAGCAGAAGTCGCTGATGGCTCTTGAACAGTAAAATAAAAAGGGAAAGGAAGCAGGCCACCTGTGCAGAGGGCACAAACCATTCCATGTGGTTTAGAGCCAACAATTAGGGCTTATGCAAATCAGATCTAATCAGACCTAGCTCAAAAACTTTCCATGGCTCCCAGCAGCCTGCAGGGCAAACTTTTTTTTGTTTTGTTTTGTTTTTTGTTTTTGTCTTTTTGTTTTTCAAGACAGGGTTTCTCTGTGTAGCCCTGGCTGTCCTGGAACTCACTCTGCAGACCAGGCTAGCCTCGAACTCACAGAGATCCGCCTGCCTCTGCCTCCTGAGTGTTGAGATCAAAGACATGCACCACCACCGCCCGGCCTAAAAACTCTCCTTTCTTACCTCTGTCCAGACAGGACTGGTCAAGGCTGTGCAGATCACAGGCCAACACCGGTTAGCTCTCTGTTCCACCGTCTTAGAATTCTTATTACCTTTCTTTAATTACATTTATTCAGTTAATGTGTATATGTGTCGTGTGTGGGGAGGTGTCAGAGGACAATCTGTGGAAGACGTTCTCTTCTCCCACCATAAGGATTCTGAGAATCAGAACTCAAGCCAGGAGACTTGGCAGCAGGCCTGTTGAGCCATCTTGCTGGCCCAGATTCTCAGTTTTCTGAACTAAGATCACCGTGTTTGGTAGGAGAGCAGGGGCTCCTCTGTTCGATCCTTGTTGCCCTCACCTTTCCTACCCACACACCACTTCTCTCTCACCCTTTGAACTCAGAGAAAGCAGAGGTGTTGTCTTATTCGTGTTTCTATTGCTGTGATGAAGCACCATGACCAAAAGTAAGTGGGGAAGGAAAGGGTTTATTCGGCTAACCATTCCACATCACTGCTCGTCACTGAAGGAAGTCAGGACAGGGACTCACACAGGGCAGGAACCTGGAGGCAGGAGCTGATGCAGAGGCCATGGAGGAGAGCTGCTCACTGGCTTGCTTCCCAAGGCTTACTCAGCCTGCTTTCTTATAGAACCCAGGACCAGCAGCCCAGGGATAGTGCCACCCACAATGGGCTGGGCCCTACTCCACCAATCACTAATTAAGAAAATGTCTACAGGCTTGCCTTCAGCCTGATCTTATGGAGGCATTTCCTCAACTGCGGCTTCCTCCTCTCTGATGACTTTAGCTTGTGTCAAGTTGACATTTAAAAAAAAAAAAAATTAGCCAGCACAGGCAGAATCCTAGTCTTGCCTTAAAGATAGAGGGCGCCAGGCAGGGAGGAAGGGAATGAAAAGGGCCCTCTGCAGCTATCACTTCCCTGGGCTTGTTTCGGAGTATGAATCTCAGTATGTCAGCTTCTTCTGAGACACTGTAGCAACCAGTTTCCAGACGGCTTGGTCAGTGGTTGAAAAACCCGTCTGATGCAGACAGCAGGTACTTCCATTGCCCAGACAAGGCTGGAGATCTGGTAAGGAGAAAATTCTGTTTTATGACCTAAAGACCAGCCTCTCTTGATACCCCTGCCCTGGTGACAAGAAGAAAGGAAGGGCCTGGAGGACTAACTGTTCTGCCTGGTGCAAAGGCCTCTCCCTCAATACAGGTGCTGGCAGGCTCTCACTGCAGAGCCCCCTCTGTGGCGTGGTCCCCCTTCCCCATCTTCCATTTCCACACACTACGCTCACTCTCACTCAGGCTTGCCTGCGCTTTCCTTTGCTCACGCTGCTGCTTTTGACACACAACTCGGATGGCGGAGCTCCCTTTTTCTTGTTTGCTACCCCCACCCCCACCCCTGCACCGCCCCCCCCCCCAACAGCCGTGGGGAGCTCCAGCTTGCCTGCCCTGTTGCTTTCTTTCTCAAACACTAATAAAATTGTCATCAAGTTTCCTTCTGGATCCATTTTAAATTACTTTATTTACAAGACTAAGATCCTGCAAAAGAGCCCCTGTGTCCCAGGATTACATCAGGACATTTACACACACACCGGCTGAACCTGGAATGCCCTCACCCGTGGCTTTTTGTTTTGTTTTGAAGTGCTGTGTCTCGCGTGGCCATATGTTCTGCCCCCGTCTCCCGTGGTAGTATGTTCTGCCACCCAGCCTTGGTTCTGAGTTCTGAATCTACTTGTTTCAGAACTTGCTCATGACCTGGTGTGCCATGAATGCACCAGGACATCCTGGGCACACATGGACAAGTTGAAGGGCTACACAGAGAAGCCAATCGCCTATGAAAGCTGGGAGACACCACCGAATGAGCCATATGGATGGCTGACTTCTGACTCACAGAGAAGGACTTGATCCCAGCGCTTCTTAAAATACTGGCCTCTAGGCCTAGAGAAAAAGCTCAGTGGTTTAGAGCACTTGTTCCTGTGGAGGACCTGGGTTCAATTCCCAGCACCCACATGACAGCTCACAACCATCTGTAACTCCAGTTTCAGGGGGTCTGACGCCCTCTTCTGGCCACCTGGGGCACTGCATGCACACCAATACATACAAAAATTTTAAAAATAGGAAAAATAAAAAAAACAAAGTACTGGCCCCTAGATTTGTAGGTCAGAATGAGGGCTCTGTGAGAATGTTGCAGATCCCATGTCACAGTGAGCAAGACTGGACCAAGAGGGCAGTGATTAACATAAATGTAACTGCCTCCCTTTCCCCGCTTCTGCCTTACAGGACCGGCAGCCTTATGCTCCTGAACCAGACTTACCTCGAGCTGGAGAGTGGATGGCCCTGATCAGTGGCCATGACCTCAAGCCTTTGGAGCTCTTTCAATGGATGAGAAGAACCAGAACAGGAACTGTAAAACAGAAGGTAAAATAACACTATTCCAGCAAACACTTTTCCACAAAGTAGGAAGCAGACTCCAGCTACTTGTCATGGCCACACAGCGAGAGGCAAGGCCCTCACTACAGGCTTGTCTTATTCCAGGAGCTAAGATACTGACACCTGAAGCCTCCTGGGGTTGGGCCCCGACTCCTGCCACCATAGCTGCATAACCTTGGGCAAGTGACTCTTCTCTCTCATCCTTATTAATTAATTATTCATCTTAACAACTTAGGGCCTACCTCCAATGCTGTGGGACTTGATTGGAAATTGCTTAGCATGGCTGTGGGCAATACCCTTGCTACTGCTTAGCCCTGGGCCCAGAGGGACACGGCACAGTTACTTAGGGGTCTAAGCAACCACTGGCTACCAAATTTAGTCGTCATCAGGGGCAAGTTGCTTAACTGTGTGGCTCTCAGTTGCTTTAGTCCATCAAAAGGACTCAGAATAGCTTTATCCCATCGAGTGGTCGTGAGGGATAAGTGAGTTACTGTGGCTGAGCTTTGATTTTTTTTTTCCATAAGCACTTTCTATATTTTTAAGGTTCTGAAGGCTATTCAAGGCCAGCATGAGAGGATGGGGCCCCCCAGCGTCCCCCCCCCCCCCACTGACTACAGCTCCAGACACTGCCATTTGGCTATTATTAGGCCCGAAGTCCTCATCTCAAATCCAGATGGGGCATAAGAGGAGCAGGCAGGGTCTGGGCTGGCAAGTGAGTGGCTGGGAACAGGGCTGGGAGGCTGGATGTGGCTTTGGGCCCCACCCTGCCTGCAGCTGGTCCTGCAGCCACGTCTACACTTGGCTCTGAGGTTGGCGCTAAGCACTCCCTCCCACCACGGCCGCCTCCTCTGGGAAGGTTCAGAGGCCCCTCTGCAGTTTTAGCACTTTCCTACAGGTCCCCACAGGACCAGACTGCACAGAAGCTTGGAGTCTATACTGCTTGCCTCCGGAGCCATCTGCCTCCCCATCCATGGCTCTTCATGCATCCATTAAGGGTTCCTGGGTCTGCTGAAGGGGAAAGGCCCAGGCATCTGCATTCAAATGCCAGCCCTCCATCAACATGCAATGTCAACTTGGATGGGGATCTCCTTGTCTCTAAACTCCAGTTGTTTTAGTCTGTAAAGTGGACATATCCTGGCACCTACTTGACAGCGTGTGCAGGCTTAAACAACTCAAGTGTACACAGTAGGTGCTCAATATGTGCCAGGACTGATGTTATTTCATACTTGGGTGGATCAGACCCTGGGAAAGAAAGGTGTTTAAGAGGCTAGAGTCCATAGTGGCTCTACTCTTGACTTGCTGTGTGATTTGAAGCCTGTTCCTCGCCCTCTCTGGGACTCAGGTTACCTACCTGTATCATGAAGTGCACATCTTGAATTTTGGGATGGCGAGACCCAGCTCCTGAATTCACGAGCAGTAAGAGAATTCTCTTTTTAAAAATCTGGCAAAGTGTCACATGGACCACCCTCCCAAAGGGCAGCTGATTAGTGACTAGGAACAAGGGTCTGACTTTGAGTTGTGGGTGTCAGAGGACTTAGGCTTACTGGGACCACCTCATCCCCGTAAGGGTGACATCTCACAGGCCTCAACCTTCAAGGGTCCTTGTGACGTAACTGCCACACACGTACTGAGGACCAGGATCCAAATCACCAGATGTATCCCAGTGAACCAGGCCCTCCTTCTCCCAGCACCAGGAACCCCTTTAAAGTCATAGGAGGTCCAGGTTGGCCCACATGAAACCCTCCCCTTTGTCCCTGGGCTGTTCTTCTGATGTCCACTCCGCCCAGTAGGTGTTTCATAGCCCCTCCTCTCCTCCAAAGACAGGAGTTTGTTAAGCACAGTTGCCTGGAGACAACGCACACGGGCTAGATGACATCATGGATGAGATGACCTTGCCAAACCGGTTTGAGAAACAGGTCATCCATCAGTGCTGCTCCTCAAGCTACTGGCGGTGACCTTGGGGGCCTCCAGCTCTTCCCATGAAGAGAAAGGGCCCAGCGGGGTCCCATCAAAGAACCAGTTCTCTCTCAGACCTTGGTCCAGCCTTGTTTGCCTGACAGTTCCCTTTTATTCTCATTGTTCTTATCCGCTGCCTCTCGCTGTCTGCGAGCTGCCTTTCCTCCAGTCTCTTGGACACCAATCTAAGCTTTGCTCTCCGCAGCCTTGGGGATCCAGATACCTTCTCTCCTCCTGCTTCTGCTGCGCCACCAGTCACCAACCCGCCTGTCACTCCCCAGTTCTTTCTGTTGCTCCGCAGCCTCCTAGACTAGCTCGCACTCCCAGGATCAGACCTCAGCTAGCCTTATAGCCCCCGACGGCCACGTATCGGCATAGCCTAAGGTTAAGATCTTCCTGAATGGCTTGTGATTTTATGTTGTCCAGACTGGTGGGATGCTTAGAAAAACACCTCCATTGTGCAGAGGAGGAAACCAAGGCTCTGAGAAGCCTCAGGCCCCGAATAAGGCAGAACTGGGACCAGAAAACATAACTTTCCTTGCCTCTTGCTTGGCCCCAGGTGTGGTGGTGGTGGTGGTGGTGGGGTGTCGAGGGGGCGGGGGCAGAGTGAGTCAGGGAACCGTTGCTGCCAGCATGGTAAAAATCATCATTTTTGGACTTGAGCTTTGGAGCAAAATATTACCCTTGGCCCGTGAGCTGTTTCAGCCACTCCTCCCGAACTCTGCCAGGGCAGGGTTGGATGTGGAAGAATCCAGAGCCTTCCTGTTATAGCCCTTTGGAGGGCTGGGAGCCAGTGAGTCCTCAGTCAGTCCTGCATTTTTTACAGATGAGCAGATAGAAACTCAGGCCTCCCAGGTGCTTCAAAATTCATTCATCCTTCTCATCTGGCACTCAGGGCTCTTCACAAACATCACCACCGCTATTTCCTATCCTACCTACCCCTTCACCTCCTTTTCTCACTCACCAGCCTCCCAGCCTTTGCTCATACACTTCCTTTTCCATCAGATGAGTTTCTTCATACTCATCTTCAATAATATTTAGCATATCACCACTTCTAAGAAACCCTCCAAGATTTCTTCCATCTTAGAAACACCAAGGTTAGGAGAGGTGCTTTGGTACTGGGCAGAATTCCGGGGTGATGGCGCCAATACCTCCCTGGGTTTCAGCTCCCTCCTTGTAGAATCAGGCCATCTCACATAGTGGTTATCTTGGTGATCTGATGTACAGCACCTGCTGGGCATTCTCACAGGGCGTTTACTCTTCCCTGCCTGTGGTTATATAGTTCCTCACCACCTGCCCTGGGTCACCCTCTGATGCCCAGATCACCATCACCACCACCAGACACCTCCCCCCCTTTGCATGGCACCATCCCTTGCAAGAAGGAAGACAAAGAGGTGGGGTAGGTCAGACCAAAGGCGGGCCAGGGCTTGACCTGCCTACACCACAGTGAAGGAGCACAAGCTCTAAACAGGCAGTCGGGCTTTAGCGCTGAGCAGACGGCTCACTGGAGCAGACAGCTGCCACTCAAGCGGATCCTGAGACCCTGAAGGGATTTAGGCGTGTCCAGAGGGAAGGGTCGGTCCCCAGGGATGCAAGGTTTTCAGTACGCCTGATGTGGCCTTGGAGAGCCTTCATCCTCATTCTGGAGTGTAAGCTGGTATCTAGGCCAAGGAGAGGGCTTGGAACGCCAGCCTCCACGCTGGGTACTTCTTCCGCCTGACCCGCAAGCGACTGTCTTCTCTCGGTCTCATTTACCAATACATAAGATGAGAGGACCATCTCTTGAGTGTGGGAGGAAACGAATGTACAGACACATAGAGAAGACTCTCAGAATGGGCACGGGGCCTCTCTCCAGGTGTGTACAGGGTGGTCTTGGAGAACTCTGACCTGGAGCTCTCTGAGACAACAAGACCCACTCGGTTCCCACAATCCCACGTTAGAGACGTTAGAAGCACAGATTAGAATCAAGGCTAGGTGGTATAAACTGTAGCTCCATTACCTATAGGCTTTTGTCCTCATCTGTATAATGGGACAATTGGAATCTCATTGAGTTGTTATGGATATTATAATCTGGTACACGACACACACAAAATAAATAAATTGGTGCTCTTATAGTTTTTATTTGACTTACAGTTTTTACTTATCAAGCAGGATTCCAGACTCTATCTAGCCAGGCTCCACCCCAGTTTAGGCTCCACCCCACTTTTGTCTCCACCTAGACCGGTAGGGCAGCTCCACAGCCTCCAGGGCCGGACGCGCGGGGTGGCTTTCTCTACTGGGTCTGAGGTCTTGGGTCTTCTGGCTGACTCCTTATTTGATCTTGGGAATATTGGCTCTTTGGGGCCTTCTGTTTCCCCCATTTGTTGAGGGTTGTGAAGTTCATGGTCCATGTTTAGGACTACGAAGCATGCTGTATGGGCAGGGGAAGACGTACTACCGGTATGATTGATCCTGCTCCATCTCAGAGGGTCCTTGGCGACTCGATACAGGGTCAAGATGCTGCTAGTCATCCAGTACTTACCCTGAGATGGCAAAGACCAGGTGTCCCGCAAGCGCTGTGAGAGTAGGCGGAGCAAGCCTGAATACTGAAGCCAGTAGTGGGTGGAGTCCGGAGAAAGGATGTGGTCTCAGGAACAAAGGAAGGCGGGGAGGGGCTGTCTGGACCTTTCAGGGCTTATACGATCCCAGGCTATTTGCCCGGCTTGTGGCACCCTCCTGGACTTCGGCTTAAAGCCTTCATCCTGCCGAAGACCACCCGAGGAGGACGAGGACACCGCGGCAGCAGCCCCCCAAACTACAATACCCAACACCCCTGGACGGTGCGGGGCGGGAGTTTAGCGGGGGCGGGGCCCAAAAATTGAATTCCCCCAATAGGACCGGAGCAGGGGCGGGACCCAACAGGGAATTGGCTGGGACGGCTTGGCGGGGCGGGGCCAGCCAGCTGGCTGGCGCCGCGGGACAGGCGTCTGCCGCAGAGTCCAGGGGACGTTGCTGAACCGGCCTGGGATCCCGGGCTGTAGTGCCTCCCGTCCGCTCGCCCGCCTGCCCGTCTCCTCTGCATCCGCCGGGTCCCGAGCAAACTAACACGAAACCGCACGGAAAGGGCGGGTCGGATTGAGAGGTGGGTGTGAGGATCTCGGGGCGACCCTAGGAGTCTAGATGTGTCCGGGGGGTGGGGTGGTGAAACCTGGATGTCTGGACAGGGATTCTGGAACTCCCAGGTCCGGTAGCCCCAACCAAATTACGGGAGCTTTAAGCCACACGATTAAGGTTCTGAGACCTTAGGGAAGGCACCTATGGACCTTGAAGAGGGAGGCTCCACGATCCTCAGAGACACTAATGTGTGGGGAACTGATACCTTGAGGAAGCTTTCCCACATCCCGACCCCCTCCCGCGGTGTCTTAACAATCTCCAGGACCTCAAACTATGTAGCATGAAGCCATCCATGGGAATGGTGGCAAGCAGTGACAGGAATTTCTGAGCAGAGTGGTACTAGGAACACCCTTGCCCAACATGAGGAAGCCCAGCATGTCCACAATATCTAAGACCGGTGTCCATTAAATGACATTGGGGAGGGGGAGTTACCCTACCCAGATAGAGTAGCTAGATTAGGAGGCAAAAAACCTTGGCGAGCTCAAGCAGTGACTTGAGCGGACGGAGTTCTTCAAACTCCAACTAGTGTGCATTAGGACTCCCCCAGACCCATTCACCGGATGGGGTGACTCACACTAAGTGACTGTTGTAGAGAGAACGGATGATTTGGGGATGAATCAATGGACGTGGGGGTCCTGAGGCCATTTCAGTCATCACATTAACTAAGTGTCCAGGTGTGCTAGGCCATGGATTCTCGAATTCCAGAGACTCCGGGGCTCCAGGAAGGAGAGAGTTGGGTTGAAAGGCTGGCACCAGGTTTAGGGATCCATTTTGATGGGCAGCAGTTGGACAAGAAACAAACATCCTGGAGTCTTGGCATTTTGGGGAGGGGACTTCAGAAGGCAGAAATAACCACAATTTGTATTAGATTCTTCCTGCCCTTTGATTGTGAGTTTTACTGACCCCCTGTGATGAATCTTGGGCCCTCTCCCATCCTCTCATTTTGCCTGAAGTCCAGAGGTCGGGTGGCTCAGCTCCCCAAGGCCCCTTCAGTGGGGAAGTGAACTGTAAGTGGATTCTAAGTGTGTGAGCCGACAGGGAGAGCTGGACACCTGGCTCCGGAAGGTCAGGTCAGTTGGTGTCGCAGGGAGGAAAGGCGTGAAATGGATATACGCAGAAGGCTGGTTCCAACAACGGATAAGACACAAGTAGCCCCCAGACCTATGGGAATGAGTGACAGTTGCCGCAAGACTTGGACATGGACTCAGCCCACAGCCAGATGCCCAGTTGGTGGAGAGAAGGCAGGTAGAGGGGTAGGCCGGGCAGCCCTAGAGATGAGTGGGTGTGACAGGAAGCTAGAGAACAGCTTGCACCCCCTGGTGGTAAACAGCTTGGGTGGGCCTTGCTGATTCCTTTTCTCAATCCAGGTCCATGCCCTCCTTGTTTAGAGCTTAGTCAGGATGCCAACTTAGACCACAGGGCAGACTGGTAGCCAAGCTGGTGAGGCTGGAACAGGAACACCTATTCTTGGTTAGTGAGTTTTTCAGCAAACCACTGGAGGGCAGAAGACAGTTCCTAGCCAGGAGCCACCTGGCAGGGTAGGATAGGACAGAAATGAATGTTATGGGCTAGAGAGGGAAATCGAGGCATAAAACCCAAGGGACTGAGATTTCTACAAGCTCCAGCAATGACTGAGATTTCTACAAGCTCCAGCAATCTAACTCATGTCTGCCTCTTGCAGAATTCCCAGAGTGCCACCAGGAGCTGACGCACATAAGGAGCTAGGGGCCAGCAAGATGGCAGACGAGGCCTTAGCTGGGCTGGATGAGGGAGCCCTCCGAAAACTGGTAAGTAGCCCTATTACTGTACGTGTGGTGGGCAAGAGCCAGCCCTGGGATATAAGGCCGCTACTTTTGTACTTTTCATTACTTAGGAAGAGGGAGGGGTTTGGAAGGGAGGGTAAAGGATCGGCTTCAGGTTGGTTCCACTTGGCCGATCCACAGGCCCTTGTGGCATGTGCCTGTCCGTGTCCGGTGCTGAGACCTGGTCCCTACCCACCTCCAACTGTCATCTGTTTAAACAGTAACTTCTGGGGACTCGCCCATGGGCTGCTACAGGTGTGGGAAGGCTGGATCTGCCTCTCCTGGGCAGCCCGGGCACTGCCCACTCCTGGAAGCCTGCCCAATGATAATGGTAGCAGCAATGATTAATAAACCAGACCACAGCAGTAGGTTGCTGAGTACACCATCTTACAGAACGTTCACACGTGCTCCGAGAGCCAGGATACCGCCACTCTGTGTGGTGAAATCACATACCCAAACGCTCCAGGTTAAAAGCTTTACCAGGGTCCAAACTCCAAAGGGGATCTTGGGATACCCAGAGTCTGGAAGAACCATGAGAGAGAAATAGACTGTGGGCTCTTATGGGTTCTGTGATGTCTAGTCTGTTGTTTTCTTATGTTAGCCTCAGTTTTTTTTTTTTTTTTAACTTGTTTAAAAAAAAAGAAGGTTGCTAGTGTGAAACAAGGTATGGTCCTAACTTGAGGATAGAGGCTGGAGTAGTCCACTCCATCCTTGTTCACCACCTTCTTCCTACCCCCGTGTACAGGGAGGCAGTAGGACAACACAGCAGGGCAGTGATGTGTGTCCATCCGCAAGGCCATGCAAGTAGGCCATGGGGAGAGCGGCCACCACCCAGCCCCTGATCTCTGTTCAGGGCAGGAAAGTAGAGACTGACCTTCTCTACCAGTGTCCCACAGCACCACCCATCTTTGCCCCTAGAGGCAGAGGCTGGGACCTCTTGGCCTAGTTGCCTTCATCCCCCTAGGCAGTTGGCCTGTGTGTCCCGGGGCCAGCCTCTTAACCTCGTTCACGGCAGCCACTCCTTGCTGTGTAGCAGCCAGGAGATGGGGTTGGGTCTCCGAAGACGCCCACCAGCCATCTTCACCGTCCCTCAAGAAGTCAGAGTGAGTCCTCGTGGAAAGCCAGGCTGGGTGTCCATGCACTCTCATCTCAGAGGTTCTCCAGCATCAGATCCCACTCACGCAAGGTTTGGGTGCTGGGAAAAAGTTACAGGGAAGAACGGGAGCAGTAGTTGACAGACGCACTTCCTCCCAGCCCCGGGAGGAAAGGACAAGTGAGACCTGACCCCGTCTCGGCCCCGCGGCCCCAGGCCCACCCCGGCCCTGCGCCTCCACCTCCCCGCGCCCGCCATTGCTGCGCCCCAGAGCTGTGAGAGGGTCCCACCCTCCGGCCTCGTGGCAGGAACGGGGGCGTCCCAAGCCCGGCTCCTCCCCGCGGGGCCCGGCCTTATATGGGAAAGCTGTGCCCAGCTGACTCGGGGAGCCGCAGCTGCTTCCGGCCCCGCTCCCGCACATTCCTGAGGTCGGGGTGGTGGGCTGCGTGGGACAGGGGCACCCGGGGACAAGCACGCCCGCGTGTGCCCTCTGCCACGTGTCTGCACGCCTTCTACCTCCCGGCCGGGTGACCTGGGGAAGCAGCTTAGGGGCTGTGAACCTCCCTTCCTTTGCAGATGGGGCGTTAAAGCCGGCGGTAGCGGGGGGCTTCCTGCCGAGCTCCTAGCAGCAGCGCCCGGCTGGAGACTGGGTGGGTGGGGCGTGGGCGAGCCCCGCGCTAGTGGCCGCAGCTTGCGGCCCTTCAGCGCCCCCTGGCGAGGCGTTTCCCCGTTGCTCTCAACACTGCAGGCAGCTCTGATCCTGGGTTTGAGGGAGGATCTGGAGGAGAATCGCTTCTTGGGCAGGTGGAGAGACTAAAGTTACAGAGATGCTAGGTCGGCCGGACGCCCCCAGCAGCAAGAGTAGAAAGCGCCAGAGCCCCAGTCCCGCCCCCTCTCCAGGCTCCCGCAGGAGGAGGAAGCACCCTCTTTCCTCCCAGGAGAATTTCACTAGGCAGTTTCGGAAACAGTCCCCTTCCCCCTGGTGGACAATAGCTCTTTGTATTTCCTTCCCTCCCTCCCACAGTCCCCTCTACACACAGTGGGGGTTACTGAGAGGGTGGGGAACTCTGGACACAGTAGGAACACTGTGATCTGACCTTTGGTGTTTGAGAGGGTGGGGAACACAAGACACACAGCAGGGACACTGGTCAGAGCTTTGCCCGCAGTCCCAAAAGGAAAGATCATGCCAGAGAGTGGCCAGCAGAGTGAGGTCCATCTCTCAGCCACGCCATCCACTTACGGGATTCAGAGGGAGGATCCCAGTTTCCAGATCGAGACACTGAGGTACCCAGGGGTTGTAGAAATGGCCAAGTTCCTATCTTGTTCTTTTTGTCCAGGGTTTGGAAATGGGGACCCATGATAGAAAGGATTAGTTATTGTATTTCCAGGCCTTTACCCTCTGGACCAGCTGTCCCCCAAGGCCACCAATCTCCAAATATTTCGGGGAAGTGAGCATCGTTCCCTTGGTTGTAATAAGGTCTCCTAAGGCTTTGACATTTCTAGACCAGGCTCAAGGGGTCTTCAGTATAGAACATCAAAGTTCCCACCGTGACAGAGACTCCAGCATTACTGTTATCTTCAGCTTTAGGCAAACCTGGCAGTCAGAGAGACTGACGTTTAACGTCTCAAGTTATTTGACCATAAACAAGACACTCATTTCCCTCTTATCAGATGGAAACAATGTATCAAGAATAGATAAAGGGGCTGGAGAGCCCAACAGTTAAGAGCGTTTTCTGCTCTTCCAGAAGACCCAAATTTGGTTCCCCCCACACCCACATCAG